AACTAACTTTGCCAAGAACTCTTGATCCATTTCCGAACATACTTCTTGAGATTCAACCTTCATAACACTCTACAAGAAAAGTCAACGTTGGGAAGATTCAAACTCCAAATCTTTCATCCCCAACAACGAGCAAAGTTCATCCTGTTCTTCAACTCTTCAAGAACTTCATCAAACATCATTTGTGACGAAGCAAGTTGGAGGAAAAACTCTGTTTTTCAAAGGATCTTCTGAAAAGAAGGGCGTCCAAGTAACTGCAGTAGTGAAGTGGTGATACTTCCGGGAAGCTGAGTGAAAGGGCCAGCCATCAGGACGTGGAACTGCATCCTGGGTGGCAACTAGGCTTGAAGAAGGCGTGGAGAACTTCTTAAGTGCTAGGAATTAGCTTTGTAACCGATCTACTTCAAAGCTAGTGGAACAGTGGACTAGAGGAACGAGTTGTTCCTTGAACCACTATAAAAATATCCGGTGTCATTTACTTTACTGCAATTTACATTTCTGCACTTAGGATATTAACTGGTAACTCTAAGACTTGGAATCTGTGTTCAGCAGATCTTGCTTTCAGAGTTATCAGAAAGGCATTTGCCTTAGTATTTCTGAGGCTACCCGGACAGATCAGAATCCGCTGCCAAGGCCAGTTCTGATATCAGAACCAGCCTTTCTCTGCCACCAGAATCAGACATTCTCTGATAAGTCATTTTGAACTTAGAGAAAGTTTGAAAAACCAATCAGTCTATTCACCCCCCCCCCCCCCTCTAGACTGATTACCCTATTAAACGGGACCAACAGAATCAATCGGTTAATACGCTTGTTATTAATTCGGTTCTTTCAATGGTAGTAAACTTGGGTTGTTAATGCATGCTTCTCATGGTTAATAAGCCAAGAGGAATTAATTATATTGATTAAACCAATAAACCGCTTGTGTTGAGGTTATCAATCTCAACCGTTTTTCATCTTAAGTTTATTGCTACTATCAAGTTAATATACGGCGCTTGTTCTATATTGACTCGATAGTAAGTTTTATTAATGAACGCATCTCGTTATTAATAACTACCCTCGATGAACTGGATATACTCCTCGATTGAGTATTCGAGAGGAAGATAGTTAAAGATATAACCGGGATCGACGAACATTTCATTAAGTGGATAAAAGCAAAGCCAAGTCTTCTTCTCATTAATTAAACCACATAACTCGTTCATCTTTGTGTTTACATATAATTTAAGTTCATAAATCAATCATAAAACCCCCCTGTTATTACTTATCTATTTCCATAAAAAGAGAAGTGTTCCTTTCCCTGTGGATACGAACCTTACTACGCTATACTACGTATAAGTGTTGTATTGTATTTATTTTGAGTGCATACCACGACAAAGTGCACGTCAGCCATCTTCCCACAGTTCCAATCTTAGAGCTCTGATACCATTTCTTGGAGCGCACAACCGAATACACCAAAAATAGAAAGGAAGAAAGAGATGACTAGAACTAAATTTCTCTTATTCATCAACAACTCCTATACTAGCTCTAACAACAATCAATGTAGAACTAGTCCACTAATTATATGGGTTATTATCCATAACAAATTATAACAATAGTAAGGCCCAATAATACGAAAAATACAAATGCAGAATTACTAATTACACAACAGTGTTTACGTGGAAACCCGGTAGGGAGAAAACCACGAGACTTTTTAGGCTAATGTCCAAGCCCTCTCTTTCTCATAAATCTCTCATCACCATTACATGTTACAAATATTGAGCCTCCTTTAATGGAGTTATTTGAGCTAGTCTAGAGAGAAGAAATAAGAACGGATGGGCCAACATGAGAAATAAGTTGGGGAAGAAGAGAAGAGATCCCTAAATAGAGGGGAATCCTTCTATTTATAGGTAAAAATAGGAAGGGGTGCTCTCCACCCTAATGGGCCAAACGGGCCGTGATGGGCCAAGTGGGCTAATACAGGCTCGACAAGCTGAAATGGGCCTCAATGATTGAGCTCTGTACTGGGGCAATGCCTTGGGCTCCTGAACAATGGTGGGCCGGTATCATGTATCTCAACAACAAGAATAGGGAGGGTGTTTTGGGTTTTGTGCAAATATATTTGATTGTATAAACATCCTTAAAAATTTGAATTATTTACAACAATACCTAGAAGTATTCAAAGTGCTTAATTTAAGTAGAAACAAGTGTTAGAAAATACTCATTTTAATTTTTTTTAAACCAAAAGTACAAGATATGTGCTTTTTTTAATTTTTTTAAACCAAAAGTACAAGATATGTGCTTTTTTTAATTTCTTTTGCAAACACCGCTACATTGGCCTTAAAGCCGGACCTGTTCCTAGAAGCTACGCTCGTATAGTTCGAATAGCAATATTAGCTAGGATCGGAGTTGGTAGTTTAGCTTAATTTTATCGGTCATGCTGCATTACCATTTCATTCGAAAGACCTGAATATTCACTCTCTAACTAGTTTTTGCTCATGTAGTTAAACAAAGATTGTGCTCAATTGTTCCTTTGTTTTTCTAAATTCCCTACAATAGTTTCTTTATTACGGAGTATAACTTATTGTTTGTCTTTTTTGGTTGTCACAAAATGAATGTCATGTTTATCTTTTGTAAAGTGTTAGAAACTATATAACCAAGCCCTATCCGTCGAAATTTTTGGTCCGTTTCTGAGGAGCCGCGAGTTTCCGCGCAGTTCCGTACAGTTTCGTACCATTTGGGCCATACATATGTAGGCCAGCGCGCGTCCTAGTTATTTTAGGGGCTATGTTTTACTCTCTATAAATACAGGCTCTCTCCCTTGTAATCACTTGATCCGAAATATTAATAACATTTATGGCTTAGTAGCGTCCCCAGACGTAGTCCTTTGTGGCAAACTGGGTTACCAAATTTCGTGTGTTATTTCTTATTGTTCTTCGTGTTGCGTTAATTAAATCCTAACAAGAAATTCATAGTATATATGAGCTTTAAATCATTTAACTCTATTTTAATTAAATTTTGATAATAATTTTTACTTTTCAATCACATTATTAATAATTATTAGTATTGTACCCGTGCGATGCATGGCACAATAATTTTTACATAATTACACATGTTGCTTTTTTCCATGCAACGAAAACAAATACAAAAATAATCTAAATAATACACATTTATATGCATTTAAAAGCGTGCACAGTGGCGGATCCAGAAAAAATTGGTGCTGGGGGCATAATCCTTTAAAACTCTCGGCCATAACGGAACGTAAGACTGATTTAAAATTACTTAGTACATTTTTCCGGTTTTTTATTATTATAATTTCCACTTTAGAATAACATAAGTGTTATTCTTTCTATAAATGTTTCACTGTGCGTTATATGTTGAGTTATATTTCTATCTGTACTTCTCTCTTTTTAATTATCATTTCATATTTTATTTTAATCATATCTTAAGCATGATATGACTACAAATTTGACGAAGCAAGAAAATATTACGGAGTAAGAGATTGATTTGCATATTTATTGCTATAGTTGAACAAAAAGAAATATAAAATTGAGTAGGAGTTTTTGCCATTTTTGGTCCCTCGACTATTAGGTCAGTGACACTTTTGATACTCGATTTCTAATTATTCCATATTTAGTTCTTGACTATTGTGTTAGAGACACTTTTAGTCCCTGACTTCAAGGTTTCCCATATATTAGCCCCCTGAGTATTATCAAATTGACACTTTTAGTCTTCTTATTATGATTTTGACACAATAAGTGGAGGACTAAAAATGTCACTATTATAATAGTTGAAGGATCAAAAGTGTCACTTTTATGAAAGTTGAATGACTAAATGTGGAAATTTTTAAAGACGGATACCAAAAGTGTCTCTAGCGCAATAGTCGAATACTATAAATGGAAAAATCAAAATCGAGTACCAAAAGTAGCAAAAACTCATTGAGTAACGAGTGATGTTTTCTTTGTTTTAATGCGACGAGCAATTGTCGTACATTTAACAAATTGTTGTGACTTTAAATTTATTTGATTATAATTAATTAAGATTATTTTATTTCCATTACACTTGGTTAATTCCAAGTGATAAACTTAATTAAGCATAACCATGTATATTTATGCTCTATCTTGGAATAGAAAAAATTATTGGGGGCAAAAGTAATAATTTATTGGGGGCAATTACTCTAACTACTAAAAATATTCAATTTTTTCTATTAGCAAAGTTTTATGGGGGGCATGTGCCCAGCTACACAATAGATCTGCCCCTGATCGAGCGTGCACATATATGTCTCCAAGACTCATGACATTAGTTATACAAAAACATGTACATATATGTGCCTGATCCTACATATATTACACTAAAAACAAAATTACAATAGTGTTTACTTACACATTTTTGAAATTAAAACCTCTGAATATACCATTGATTGTTGAATTGTCGGTTCTTCACATTGATTAAGTAAAAGGCAAATAACTTATTTGCCCCCAATAACTTTATATAGTGAACAGTGACAAAAAAGTGTAAGATGCATGTAGGGGTGGATTGGGCCTGGTCAGACCGGGTTCTGGGTTTGGGAAATTGAGTCCCGATACCGGCCCGGTTATATACCAGACCCGTTCCAGGTCGGGCTATCTGGGCGGGATTCGGGTAATTCACAAGTGCTACATAATCACAAGTGCACATCCCCCTAGCCCCTCCAATGGCTCTATAGCCGTTGGCAATGGATAGGAGCAACCAGGCAACCCACAAAGGGCCACAATCATCTCAAAAGCCATTTAAAAAAAGTTATATCAGTTGGGCCCAGTCGGTTCACGTTTTCCATGTCCCGGAGCCTAGCCATACACACTGGCGGTTCAGGCCTCAAGCCCGGGTCGGGGCTGATTAAGCAGGTCAGATCGGGACCCAACAGTGCCGGGCCGGGCCAGGTTTCGAGTTGGACCGATCCAATCCAGTCCACCCCTAGGTGCACGTATGAAAAGACACATGAAAGAAAAGGCTACATTTTTGGGCAGGGGGTCACACATGTAAGAAACGAGTTTAGCAAAATCTCCTATATTCAATATTATGCATATAGGATAGTACTACGTATGTTCATACTTCATATAATGTGTTTTACAAAAACTACAACCAAGACATGGGATACGATTTGCATAATTTCAAAATAAGAAACAAAAGTCGAATTGAAGTGACCAAAAAATGCAAAACCAGAACAATTTGTAGCTTTTAATTGAAGCACCAAAAAACGAGATGCCAAAAGTACTTTCTTTTAGACGGAGTACCTCGGAAAGGATAGATGTCAAAATTACTAACTATGGATGATAATGAACGCCAATGGAATCAACAACACCTCCGCAACGCCCATGGAGTCCAATAATCTTCCCGCCCTCCTCAACAACATACTCGAACGGTGCACCATTATTGGAGCCATATGGTCCATACACATTCAAGTTGGTTCGAAATGCAATTGATTTTATCACAACATAAGGAAAGAAAAACTCATACGTTCCGCTTATTTCAATCAATCTCTCCGATGTTCCATCAATATTTACCTGCATAGGGAAAATTATTAACCAACCACCTTAGCTGCTTTATTAACTTCTCCGTTCCACCCTAGCTACACAAATTTTACCAAAATTAATATGAGGGAATCATAGTGAAACATACCGAAAGAGAAAGAGAGATGATCTTTGCAGGACTAAAGAAGTATTAGGGAAAAAGTCATAATAACAACCCAGGTAATACTTAATTTTCTTCACAAAGTAAAGTTTGTTTTGTTTATTTCGGAGAAATAAAATCTTAAAGCTGATTGAGACATATTTTAAAAAGAAATAAATATAAGGTGAACTACATAAATGGTACCTAGCTTATGTATCGTATTGTTGCATTTTTATAGCTTAACACTTTAATGTACCAAATCAGTGCTACAACTACACGTAAATGTTTCAATCGACAATTTTATTCAAATTTCAGACCAAAAAATACCATATGGCAGACAAAATTCTACTTAGAGACTACTTTACATTATTTTGACCAAAAAATTGAATACAGATGTCTGTGTACACACTTTTTGGGACTTTTACACATGTCTGTAGGTTTTGTTTTGTCTGTATAAGTGTACCTTTGGAATTTTTCATATTATTGTTACTTGAAACATTTATATGTAGTGATGATAATTTTAATAATTGAAAAGTTAAGGTACTAAAATACAATAATATAAATAATTAAATAGTGAAGATGTCATCTATCCAAATACGTAGTATGCAACAATATCAAAAGTTAAGGTATCCGATAGAAATGTGACGTTGTAACCTCTCTGGTTTTGAAACCTCCACGTCCTCCAACTTGTAAAGTCTTCACCAAGCCGTCTGGCTTAAGGCTGATGAAGCTTAGAGAATCAACAACTTCTCCGTTAACGATAGTTATCTGTTTTAATGCACAGCCATCAAACGTGTAATCCCAGTATGTTCCTCCTGGTCCTCCCCATGCTGTCACTTTAATAATACTCTTAGGTATTACCTCTTTAGTGGAAGATGGAGGCCAATCTGAATAATATGTACTCCGTATAATACAAGAAAATGAAACTAAACTATGAGATAATAATTTAAAACAAAAAGATGAGATATCATTCTGTATTACTTTGTAGCTAATAGCCTAATACCGTAAGAGATGTTAGTTTAAGCTCATACTTTTTAATGTGGTTATACGTTATGTTGATCAACTATTTGCATAGTATTCCAAATATAACCAAAACATCCAGCACACATAGTTCATGCATAAATACGGGATTAAATATGTTTTATTCCCAAAATAGGACATATCTAGCTAGTCCTATTAAACGAATAACATGAACAAAGCTTCTCAAAATTGAAGTGAATGAATCTTATTTTGAGAATAAAACATTGACGGCCACTTAGCTTAATACTTGTTTTAATCCAATTTTGGAATTTTCTCGAACAATATTTCAAAGAAAAATTAGTAAGGACTATAAAACATTGATTTTGTAATCTTAGCTTACGGCCACACAAGACACCGATACAACATTAGATTTCCATAAGTATATTTTCTTCGGCTATTAAAAACATAAAAAATAACAATTTCCATGGAGTCATATAAATACTACCTACTACGTATCTCATCATTCCTTTTCATTTCACTCTTGGCATTTTGAATTCTCTTTTTTTGAATGTGGCATTTTGAATTCCTTTTCTCACCAAATTACCAGTATCTCATTCATTTCCATTTCACTCTTGGCATTTTGAATACCTTTTTTTTGTTAAAAAAAAAAAAAACAAAATTACCAAAACCGTAGTTACGGAATCAAAATACGGAAAATAAAAATGCATTAACAAAAATAGCATAAGGGAGGACCTCGAACATTGGAAAGAATAGATGATGAGTCAGCTTCATCGGAAGTTGAGTGAAAGGGAAGCAGTTTTTCTCTGAGTTTAGAGAGTTGAACACCGCCGCCGGCCGGTTGGAGATTGACGGCACAAAGGGCGAGACGCTGGATGATTGGCGACCAGATGTCGGCCCTCTTCTTCCCCGCCGGCGTTTGTTGGCCGTCTACCAGGAAACACTTCATCCATGGCAGTTCAATCAACAGGTCGTCGACCGCGCAAGGGCAGTACTGGTTAAGCTCGTGGTTCAACATTGAGAGAGCCTCATCTACAGCGGCTATGGCCATTTCTGTCGCTAGTTGCATTTTGGTTTATTTGATTGAACAGGGAAGCCAAGGCGCCGAGTCCTGAATTTGGTTGCATCCAGGGGAACAAAGAGATAAATTTCGGCCTTTTAATTTAGGTGAGTTAAAAGAAAGGTATGGTACCTACTACTCATATGATTGGTCCAAATTATTATATCATTTTTAATTTAGATTTAAATATGGTACGTTTTGGATACCATAGAATCTACTCCCCTTTAATTTATTGACGATGCAATGTTTTGTTCCTCCCTACTATGAGAATTACTAAGAAAAAAACTACTACGTATTATCTGTGTATCTAAACAATTCAGTTAATATGTAGTATTATGTACACACTCAATTACGTACAAATGTATGCGCAAGGTGACAAATTTTAAGTACTTCAAAAATTATTGAATTAGTAATTCTTCAAAATCAGGAGTTGAAAATATGAAACACCAAAATGAACAACGGATCCAGTTTGGAAAATGTTAGCGATCAAATATATAACACGACTTGGACAAGTCAAATATATAAGGCATGTTTGAGTGTTTGGAAGGGCGGAAAACTAAAGAATTTGAAGTATATTGTTGGAAAGGAAAAGAAAGGAATGTGGAGAAGCACTTCTTCATATGGTTGTAATTAATTTGGAAGAAGAATCTTTAATAGAGTTATAATTAAAATCACTTTAAAATATAATGAATTTAAATAATTTAAATGTTACCCATTTGATATTTAAGGTTAAATTATCTATTCATTAATTAATCTTCAAAACTTTCCAAATTATGTGAACTTAAAAATTTGGCATTTGGAGTATTTTAGAGGGTTACAAAAGCCCATAAATTATCTAGATCCTTCAATTTGTTAGACACCAAATATGCATGAAAAGAATGATGATAAACCTCATTCACATTCCCCTCATCTACAAATGCCACTCCCAAACATACCCTTAGGACCCTCTGTTCGGTATGACTAGTGTTTTTAAGTATTCAATCTTTTCCTTAAATATAAAATAAAATATTTCGGTAGAACTGAAGTTGCTTTCGTTTCCCGACATCATTGTAGAAGGAAGTGTTTTTTGAAAGGGGTTTTTGAGTTTGCACCCCATTTTATTGTCTAAATTAGACTTTGCACCCCGTTTTTTGAAATCTTTAGTACTTGCACCCCAACCCCATATGAAAAGACTAAAATGCCCCTCCATTAACAATTTTGTTGGTCTTCAACATATTCCTGATCGAGTGACATTTTTTTCTTTTCACAAAGGGTTGAGGTGCAAATACTAATGATTTCAAAAACGGGGTACAAAGTCTAATTTGAACAATTAAATGGGGTGCAAACTCAAATTATCCCTTTTTGAAAACAAAAACGAGAATATCAAAAGGGAGATTTACCTTAATAAGAGCAAAACATGACATTTTTCCCAAAATAAGACCAATTAGTTAAAACATTCTTAGATAGAATTTTTTATGTATGCTTCGACGCTAAAAGTCATTTTTATTTTTTGCACCCAGGACCGTTTTGCGTCGACAAAAGTGGACGCAAAAGATAAATCTTATTTGGGTCGACAAAAAGCGGACGCAAATAAACGTTTTGCGTCGAGCCATTAGCGTCGACACATTAGCGTCGACACATTAGCGTCGACATGTTCACGCAAATAAAGTATTTGCGTCGACTTTGGGTCTTTTGTGTCGACGCAAAAAACGCTTTTTCTTGTAGTGCCTATTGTTGCCCCTAGACCCCTCCGCCGGAAAAATTCCCATGATTTTTCTCTGGAGGCCCGCCAACATTTCTGCTGCCGCCGCCAACGCTGCCGTCGGAGTTTGCCGCCGCCGGAATCTGCCGCTGTCCACCACCGGACTGCCTCCACTACAAACAGACTGCCTTGGTTGTGCAAGAGAACTAGGGGGACAATTAATTGAGTTAATTAATTGCCGGAGTTCGCCGCCACCGCCGCCGACCGGATGCCGGAGTACTACCGCTGCCACGGATTGTCCCGCCACCGACTGCCTTGGTTTTGCAGGGAAACTAAGAGGACAATTATTTAGATCAATTCATTAATTAAATAGAATTAGGGGTAAAAAGGGTAAATTTAGTCCTATTTAGGGAAAACCAAATATTAAGTCCTATTTTGGGAAAAAATCTATGTTGTTGTCTTAGCCATGACAATTTTCTCATATCAAAACCACATTGTTACCTAGAATTGATACAACATATCATTCACTCTAGTATTAAGTCCTCTTCTACTGAAATTTCAAGCAGATGACTATTCAGATCAAAATCACATTAGATTAATTAAAATTCAGAAATGAAGTGGTTAAAAAGTAGGGATGGCCGCGGTCTAGTCCTGTTAATCTTCGGTCAAATCCGTACCTGTACCGTAACTATTCAAACGGTTCGGTTCGGTTCGGTTTGGTCTTAGACCTAAACCCGTTCGGTACGGTTCCATTTTCAAACGGGACGGTACTATGCCATACTAATACCAAACAATGCCACTTTTTTCAAGTATTTAAGGGAAAATTAATGTTTAGTATCTTCCATGAATTCAAACAATTTATCAATTTGCATACCCCCTCTGTCCCAAATTGATACGCGAAGTCTATATTTTTTGTCAACTAATGTTAATGTTAAATTCTCTTTATTGATAATTAATTCAATTTTTAACAATTAAAATTTACATATTCAGAAACTATATTAAAATATCTTCAAAGTTGCAAACTCCAAATTAAATATAATTAAGAATTGACATCTTAATTAAGTGAATAAAATGAAGCTGTTTGACCAAGAGAAGTTAATTTTGCAAATCAATTTGGGACGAAAGTAGTATTACATAACTAATGAATTTCAGATAAATTATATTAGTACAAATTTAAATAAGTAAACCATACAACGGTTCAGTTCTGTGCTTCCTATAACTAGCAAAAGCGGTGAAATTGTGAAAACACTAGCCAAAGTTGTTGGGTGTGTTTCGGAAAATAAAGAAAATTAATTAAAATTAATTAATTAAATAAAATGACTAGAGAAAAACAAGAAAGGAGATGAAGCAGAATTAGTCAAAGCTCGTGCTACGCACGATGTCCTTCAAACGTATTTGTTGCCTCCCACGGTGCTAGGAGCGTTGCAACAATAGTTTCCCAGGATACGATGACTACGAACTAATGTTTGAGCACACAAACAAGAGTTCCAGCGAACGAGAACACAGTATGAACACAGGGGAAATTTTCGGAATGCTAGCAGTGTGTTTTTAGAGGTGCAAAACGTGCATGGAGTGTATGAATTCGTGTGTTGTTGCAAACCACCTGCCAGCCATTATATAGGAGGATTTGTTGTGTGCAAATGGTGAATTAATGGACCTGAACGTTGGACATTAATGACCAGTCCGTTGGGCATTGAATCGTCCATGAACTGTCCATTTAACGCTGCATTAAAAGATAAGAACGTTGGGCATTTATTGTTGTAACGTTTCAGAAGCGCGACAGAAGACCTCCATGAGAACACCCCGGGAGGGGTTCTGATCGGAGGCCAATCAGAAGACCCCAACTCTGATCCGCGGCCATCAGAGTACCCCCAACTCTGATGGGCGGCCACCAGGCCATCAGAACACCAACGAGGTGTTCTGATCCACGTGAAAGTTAAAGTTGGCGAACCTTTTCGGAACGGAGGGAGTTGGAAAATCAGATTAAACCATGAAAACCCGGTTCAGACCTTGACCCCTAAAAACCCTGATCCAGAAAACTACTCCCTATGTCCCTAAAAGAAGTTCCATTTCGCTTATCGAGGGTCAACTCAAATCACTCTTAAACTCTTACTTTTTATATCAAAATTTTATAAAAGTTGAATTATTTTTTGCAGGCTTTGTAGCGAGTTTAATGTAGTTTCTGAATATGTAAATTTTATTTACTAGAAATAATCCGATTTTTCACAGGGATCATTTAACTTTATCGACGGTTAACTTTCGTAATCCACAATTGGAACATTTAGGGAAAAAGTATGATTGAATTTGTATGATTTTAAAAGTTTTCACGAAAAAGTTAGGGCCTGTTTACTAACAGAGATATTTTCCTGTTTTCTATTTCTGTTTTTCATTCTCCAATTTTCTGTTTTTATTTTTCAGTTTTTCTATCTCCAATTTTCTGTTTCTATTTTTTAGTTTTCCATTTTCAAATCTGAAAACATGTTTATCAATTTTTTCACCCAGTTCTCCAATTCCACACCCTTGACCTCTACCCTTGACCCCTACCCTTACCACGATCTTACACTCTACCCATACTCCCCCACAACCCATCATACCCACCCATACCTACTCGTTGGGGTCGGCCGGGGTAGGGAAGTTATGGGTGGGGGGTGGGGTAAGGGGTATGGTTGGGGTGGGGTGGTAAGGTCTAGGGGTAGGGGGTTGGGTGGGGGTAGTGGGTGGGTTAGGGGTAAGGGTGGGGTAGTGTTTAGGGTTTGGGGTAAGGTAGAGGTAGGGTATGGAGTTGGGATAGGATGGCGGTGGGGTGGGGCCAGGACCAGGGTGGGGCTGAGGTAGGGAAGGGGTAGGGGGTAGTGGGTAGGGTTGGGGTAAGGTAGGGTAGTGGGATAGGATGACGATAGGGTGGGCCCAGGATCTGGGTGGGGCTGAGGTAGGGGAAGGGTAGGGTGGGGGGTAGGATGGCAGAAGGGTGGGGGTAGGATGGCGGTGGGGTGGGGCCGAGGTAGGGGCATGTGGTAAGGGGTAAGGGGTAATATACGGGTGGGTCAGGGTGGGGTCGGGGTGGTAGGGTGTGGCGGTAGGGTAGGGTGGATTGGGGTGGGACCGAGTTAGGGGAAGGGTAGGGTGGGGAGTAGGATGGTGGTAGGATGGCGGTACGAGGGTGGGGATATGATGTCGGTGGGGTGGGGTCAAGGTAGGGGCATGTGGTAAGGGGTAAGGGGTAATATACGGGTGGGGGTAGGGTAGGGTGGGTCAGGGTGGGATCGAGGTGGTAGGGGGGTGACGGTAGGGTAGGGTGGATCGGGGTGGGGTAGGGTCATTATATGGAAAATGGGTATGCGGGGGTGGGGTTGGGTGGGTAAGATAGGGTAGGTAGGGTAGGGTAGGGGTAAGGGGTAATGTACGGGGATGGAGGTACCGGAATGGAATCGACATCGGAGCGGGACCGGACCCACCACTAGGTGTAAGTATGCAAATTCATTGCAGCGGCACTGTAGCATCTCCGTTTTCCAAATTTGGAAAACTAGTAAAAGTCACTTCTCCAAATCATTAAGGAAAAGAGAGACATGTCTCATTTTTTCCGTTTTGGAAAACGATTTGGTAAACGCGTTTTTCTTTTTTCCT